TTTTTAAACATGGTTCCTACATTTTATTGCTAATATGTTGTTCTGGACTTGAAGTCATGTGCTTTTCAGTGTTAGATCATCTTACTAAAGTTATTAGTGACATACTACTGAATTTTTGAGGTTGATGCTCTCAAAGACAAAGCAACCCTTCCCCCAAATTATTATGAGGATGTTTATTCACTCAAACAGCTAACATTTATCTATATTTCTGATATACGTGAATCTTGCTCGGTCTTAGGGATATAGTGATTCCAGATTTCTTACCTCACAGAGCTTACAGTTGAGTGTACTCAGGGTGATTCATTCTGCAAAACCTCATTGCTCATTTACTGCATGGAAGGTATTTTGTTGGTGGTAGGGATACAATAGAGAGGTAGACAGTCTCTAAAATTGCAGAGTTTACATGAGAGTGAGGGAGGCAGACAGTTAGCAGCAAATATAGGTAAATGATCATTCCAGAGAAGACTAGTCACTATAGAAAAGACAGAGAGAGATTTTGATAGAGAATGTGGAGGTGGGGAGCAGCATTAGCAGAGATGCCAGGGAATGCCTTATTGAAGAGTTGACACTTGAACTGGGCACTAGATGATGAGAAAGAGGCAGTGGCAGAGAGTTCCACATAAATGGAGTGGCAAGTGACAAAACCGACATTCTTTTTGTGCTTGGGGTATCTGAAGGGATAGCACAGTGGGCAGGGTTTCTGGAACATGATGGTAGAAGGAGAGGGGCACTGGATGAGATTGGCAGGGCCCAGATAATGTAGGGGCTTGTGAGCTATGGAAGGACTTTACATTTTACTCTTAAAATCTGATTGAGGGCTGGGTATGGTGGCTCACATCTATAATTTCAGCACTTTGGGAGGCTAAAGCAGGAGGATCGCCTGAGCCAGGAGTTCAAGACCAACCTAGGCAACATATTAGAGACCCTGTCTCTCTCTCTCTCTCTTTTTTTTTTTAAAGACACAGTCTCATTCTGTTGCCCAGGATGGAGTGCAGTGGTGTGATCATAGCTCACTGCAACCTTGAATTCCTGGGTTCAAGCAGCCCTCCTGTCTCAGCCTCCCAAAGTGCTGGGATTATAGGTATGAGCCACTGCACCCAGCCAGACCCTGTCTTTTTTAGAAAAAAATCTGATTGAATCTGGCAAGTAATAATTCCTTAGAGTTGGTTAATGGTTCTAAACTTTTCAAATGTTAAAGGTTTTGCTTCTTTATTTTAAACCTCACCGTTCCCCAGGGAAGTGTCCCTGTTGGGCAGATGAAGAGGCAAAAATCCATAGGAGTTAGGTGACAGGACTGAGATTGTACAGCTGGTGATTGGCAGAGCCAGGTTTTAGAACCCATGTGTCCCAATTCCAACTTGTGCTTTTATACTCTATCAGCTGCCTCCTTGCCTTCTATTTATGCTATTCTTTGGTTTTTATTCTCTGAAACTAGAAATAGTGAAAGGGGCAATTAAGAGGAGGACTCTAGGCCTACTTTGTTCTGCATTAGGTATTCCATTTCTTTTGGCCTTTAGGCATATGATACCCAGCAATTAAAGCCTTGGCTAAGAGACTAAGGCAGTGAGTCAAAGTCAGCCCATCTGATACAGGTGATCATTTAGTTCAGGAAATGTTCTTGTGGTGATTTGTACTTGGGATGCGGCCAGGTAAGTCTTATGCATCTTAAAAGTGCTTTCTTTTAGATCTTGCTGACCATATGACAGACTTCTCAGAGCCGTGAGTCTTGTAAACCACAAGGAATTCAGGTAGTGGTAAGCCCTGCTGCAAGTATTACAACCATGTGCAGTCAGAGGGATACAGAAGGAGCATCTCTCAGCACAAAGCATTGTTTATTTGAATATTTTCCTTTTGGTCATATTTAATGTGATGGAGTTTAGTGAACTGTTTTTCAAAATGAATGAACTTAGCAAAGATTTTTAAAATCAAGCCTGGAAATACTGTTAGACTCTAATTAGAGTCTCATCCTATGATCCTCCAGAGGGTGACTTGGTGATGAAAATGGTAACCAAGTATAATAGCCACAAGTTCTTTGTGCTGGAGCCTTATGTTTTGAACTTTTATGTTCGGGGAAAATTGTTTACTTTTCCGAATGCAAGGAGATGTCTTCATAATTGGCGTGATATTGTTTTCATTGTAACTTTGTGTATGACCCAATGGTGATAGTTAATAATCAAGTATATTTTGTATAACACATCATCTGACCAGCAGAAATAGAGACACGTTTTGGGACTTTTGCATGTGGTTAATAAAATTAGCATTAATGACCTAAATTGTTTAACTTTAAATTTTGATGATTTACTGTTCCTTCCTTTTATTTTTAGGGGATCATTGAAAACTTTTGTCCATACAGTCCATCTATTACAGAAACAGACTGATCTAGGGTTCCTACCTGTAGCTGATGTGCTATATAGGTAAGTTGTTGCTTTGTATCCTTACCTTCCTTCCAAACAAGGAAGATTTGTGCCAAATGCCTCCTTTATTAAGTAGATTGCTAAACTCTTATCAATTCATGATTCATTTTTAAATAAGTATAGATCCATATTTACCTTCTTAAATAAGAATTTTTTTTTTTATCTTTCCTTCTTGGAAAGTGTTTTTAGAGCATGTTATTTTTCATTCTTTTTTATTTCTATGCCTTTAAAAATGCAATAGCTGGAGGGGCGCGATGACTCTTGAGTGTGGTGGTGCATGCCAGAGTACTAGGGGGGCTGAGGAAGGAGGATTGCTTGAGCCTGGGAGGTGGGTGTTGCAGTGAGCCAAGATCGCCCCGCTGCACTCAGCTTGGATGACAGAATGAGACTTTGTCTCAAAAAACAAAAAAAATATTAATATGCAATAGTTTATAATGAATTCTGATTGTAAATTTTGAGATGATCATATATTAAGGTATAAAGAAGAAAGTGAAAATCATTCATAATCAAAGATAGCTACTCATAACATTTTGGTAGATAGGCTTCCTAATTCATAGCCCACTCTGTCTCTCTCTCACACACAAAAGTACACATAAAATAGATACATATTACACACAGATATAATTTTATTGTAACATTTTTATAAACAAAGCTTTGTAATTTTTTAATTTAAAAATATTGTAGCCTGCTTTGTAATCCCAGCACTTTGGGAGACTGAGGCAAGAGGATCACCGGAGGTCAGGAGTTCAAGACCAGCCTGGCCAACATGGCAAAACTGCATCTTTACTAAAAATACACAAATTAGCCGGGTGTGGTGGCAGGTGCCTGTAGTCCCAGCTACTCGGGAGGCTGAGGCAGGAGAATCACTTGAACCCAGGAGGCGGAGGTCGCAGTGAGCTGAGATTGCGCCACTGCACTCCAGCCTAGGCGACAGAGTGAGACTGCATCTCTAAATAAATAAATAAATAAAATACTGTGAATATCTTTTGTGAATAATATTGGTATAAAATATTATACATCTAGTTTTAAGATTTTGGTTTTTACTCTTTGGGGTGGCAGGTATACTTCTTGTTGAAATGGATTGTCTCAGTGTCTTTGTGATTTTCTTTCTCTCCCATGTAGGCTATTGCTTTTGGAAGGGGGGCCTGGATCTCCCTCCTGTTTGCTGGGGGGCAAACACATAGTATCATGGGGTTATGAAGACATGTTGCCTGCACCAGATAGCAACACTGGCTCCAGTTCTGAAAATAAAGGTAATGTAAGAGTTTTTGTCCTATGATTAATGCTAAGATGTAAATAAAGTGGTTTTAGATCATTGTAGCAACTAATTTGGATATAACTGTGTGCTCCTTTTAATTAAGAGCTCAAGATTTTTATACAGTATGTTCATTGTCTGCGTTATCATAAAAGTCTAAAAGCTGATACTGGTGAGGTAAGAAAATGGATAGGTTTTATTATCACAAGGAAAATGTATCATCCATAGACTCTTGCCAAGGAGGCATGAATTACTTAAAGTGGCTTCTGGATATTTAAGTTTGGGTATGATAGCCTTAAGTTGAATTTTTTTGTCTGCCCATAGAATATCAGGTCCTACTGCTTGATAATATTTCTTTTAGTAATTTATTGTGTGTGTTAATGAGCTCTCCTGTCCTAAAAGCAAAAAACGAAGCAGTTCAAGGGAGCATGAATTGTTAACATCTCCTTTAAGCAAACAGACTAGGTTAAAATGTTTTTACAGAGCTTTACAGTATTATGTGTCAGTTTCTTACATTATCTCAACAAAAATGGAAGAAGCTCTCTTAACTGACTTGCCAGATGGATGAGACCCCTCCATTCACTCAATAAAATGTCCAGGCTGCTGCCATGGCCCCCTGAACCTACAGGGCTGGTCAGCTCTGCTCCCGCCAGCTGAGTTGCAGGCTTGCCAAGAGGCAGGCTTGCTCCCAAACCAGTTTGTTAATTGTAACTGGTACTTATTATTGTGATAATATCATTAAATCTTACATAACTGATGAAATAGGAATGAAAAAAAAAAAACAGGAAATAGTCGCCATTAAGAAGTTGAATGCTCTAGAAAGACTCAACAAAGTGAGTCTCTAAGAAACTGGTGTTCATCAGGTATGGGATTGAGAGTCTGTTCCTCCCTACCTTTCATTTCCCACCTTCCATGGGCAGCCTTCCTGGGCAACCCCATGAGCACGGAGGAGAATCTGGGCTGCAGGCCCCCTCGCATCTCTCAGCCTGCAGTACCCAAGAAGTTCTCAGACATTATAGGCTCCAACTTACATCTTACCACACAACTAAAACTTCTTTCTTGATTCTCTCTTTTTACTCCATTTGGTATTTCCCTTGGGGTAGTTTCTCACTGAGGAGGATGGTAGTAAGCTGATCTGTTTGCTTTCATTCTCCTGAACCTTTGGTTTTGCATCTAGGGAGAGGATATTTTTCTTTTTTTTTCTCTTTTTTTTTGAGACGGGGTCTCATTCCATTGCCCAAGCTTGAGTGCAGTGGTGCAATCACAGCTGCAGCCTCGCAGGCTCCTGAGGAGCTAGGACCACAGACATGCACTACCATACTACCATGCCCAGATAATTATTTAATTTAATTTTTTCTTTTCTTTTTTTTTTTTTTTTTT